GAAGTGTCCCGGTGCTTCAGCTGGCGCCCCCCTGGGCCCACACAGGTCCTGACAGGAGGACAAAAGTGCACCTTGCACTTCTTAGCACCAGCAGCAGCACCCTGGGGGCGAATACCTGAATACCTGTGGTAAATAAGAGGCAGAGAAGGAGTGACACAACGCAAGAAAAGAGAGGAGAAAGAGGGGGGAGTCAAAGAGAAGAAGTGTCTGTACAGGTGATTTTCTGGCTCTTAGTGTCAGGTGTAAGACAGAAACATTTAGAGCTCCAAAAAAACACATAGCCCGCGTACATTTATACAGTTTTTCTATTATTGACTGTTTTGCTAATTCGTGAATGCTCTGACACCTGCTTTCTTAGCAAGTATGCACTATCCAAAGAGCAACCCTCTCACTCTCTCATGTCATGACTTGCTCTCCACCGCCTCGCTTACTCTGCGGGTGGTTTGTGCACATTTGGCTCAGACTCTTCTCTTCTTGCACCATGTTGTAACCTGGCCGGCAAAGAAATTTAGTAACACCAGAGAACAAGCCAAAGATGTCAACTGTGTGAGAAGTAAATGTGCAGAAGATCACAGACCTCCATCATTCAGCTTTCAGTAAATCAAAGCCCAAAGGGTTTCCCTCCAACTAATCCCTGTGTGTCACCAACTTCCGTCCCTTCTCTCTCTCTCTCTCTCTGGCTGAGTGTGCTAATCGGTGAAATGAAGTGTGTTAAGCCAAGATCACATTACCACTCTCACAGACACAATCACCTCGCTCTGTGCAACAAAATGTGCACAGGGCTTTGAGATGATGCCGCTGGAGCAGGTGCTCCGGAGGGAAGAAGAACTTTTTAAAAGATAAATAAAATAAGTTTACAGATTTCCACTTTAAAAATAGAAAATTCTCAAAAGATAGGGAAAACTATTGGAACAACATGGCTCCCAAATATGTTTCCAATTCAAGTTTCTTTTATCTGGATGTCTCAGAGCCAAATTTGCTGTATTTTTTGTTTTAATGACCTTTGGATACGCACCATCACGCAGTTTGACAAGCTTTCTCGCTTTGCGTTTTCATCTCAGAATATTTTACAGATGAAAAGCAACTTGATTACAGGAGCCACCATACCAGACCAGGAAATCAGTGACATTGTTGAACAAACCATAATTATGTTACTTGATCCTAAATCTAAAAGGTACAGCTTCCTAACTTGTAGCAATGTTATTCAAGATGGAAACTCAGATGGTCCAAAGTTGGTAATCTGGTGCAAAGTGGCGTGACACATCTCCTGTCTGTTTACAGCTCATCCTCTACCCCCTGACCCTGTGGGACAGAGGATCTGTGTTGAGGAGGAGGCACAGCAACGGCTACACACACACTATGATGAGGGACAGCAGGAGTGCGGAGGTGGGCAGGAAATAGCGTGTACCCCCCTGTGCAAGGCCATTTCCTGTGAATCATTTGGGTAAAAATGGTTTACTTGTTTCGATATCTGAGCTGTATGCACATTTAAAGGCAAGGTGAGGCAAGTTTATTCGTTTAGCACCATTCATACACAATTAGAGATGCAAGGAAATAATAATTTATTTAAAGACTTCACAGTGGACGGAAACTACCCAGAGTCCACTCAGAGCATTTCCTTGTGCCCTTACAGCACGTTATTGATCAAGTCTGCTTCACAACATGTGACATTCCCCAGCAAGTGATACTCCCTTCTGATGTGATGAAGAGCCTACAAACAGAAACACTCTCCATCAACACACACACCCAACCCTGTCCTGCTGCTTCATCTCATCCCCCATCTATGATCATTTTCTTATCCCCAGGTCACCCTCAGCCTTAAAGGTGGGGTAGGCAGGATCTGAGGAAGTGCCAGTTTTTGGGAGACATCTTGAATGTAAACTCTACCCCTCCCAATTAGTTTTCCCCTCAGCTCCTCCTCTCCCCTCCATCTTTCATCCAGCAAGCCCCGCCCACAAACAGACGCTCCTGCTCGCTCGTATCATTTTAATTAAATTCAGATATAATGCAGATAAATACTTACAGATAATTAAAAAATGGGGCCCAGTCAATGTGAAAGTAAAAAGCACTGGAGCTACTGTAGATGCCAACAGACTACCAGCAGACACAATGTTTGGATAAAGTGACATACTCTAGGACCCGAGGTCACCAGTTTAGTGGCGTTCCTTTGTTTAAGCGGTTTACCTGTCCATCAGAAAGGTTAAAGGGTCCGTAAGACAGGGATCTGAAGCCTCCCCCATCATTTATGCTGATGTTGACCCGCCTTCTTAGCTCTTGTTTGGTCTACCTTCTTTTTAAGCGCCTGTTATTCCACCAGTGTCTCAGATATTTACTTCATTTTCTTGCCTGCGTTGGCAGTCGTGTCTAAAGGAGGATTCAGACAATTTTCTGTATTTACTGGTTGGTTTCTACCATCCGATATTGTAGTACGCTAACAACACAGGGAGCAGCGTCTGCCTCACAACCAATCAGGTTGGGGGAGGCGGAGAATGGCTTTGTTTACAATCAGAACAAGCGGGCCACTCAAACATTTTAAAATGTTGACTACACAGACATAACAAAACACAGCGAAATCATTATATTACCAAATGTCATCAATGACTAATAGCTATTGACTGATATTAAAAGCTTTTTTGTATATACGCCACAAAAAAGATGCTTCTTTAACAGAATCCTTCCTACCCCACCTTTAAATCTCCACAAACTGAGGAGCTATTGGGACCAACTTGCAAAACAGAACTATTGGAATTATGTCATTTGTCCAGTGCCCCGAACACTTGATCAAGACCAGATATTCAACAAATCTAACAGAAGAAAAAGGAAAGTTTGAATATTTTCCTTTTTAAGTGAAAGACTAAAAATTTGACTTTTTCAAAACAATGTTATAAGTCCATCTTCATACCACGCCACATGGTGTTACTTCATACATACATGTTGCCAGCCTTTGAAATCTTTTTTATTGTCTGTAAAGAGCCTGAAGAAGATGATCGCAGACTGCTGCTGAAGCTTTGGGCACTGCCATTGTGTAAGGAGCACTGCAGCTCGTTTGAAACTTTAACCCAGTGACTAAACCTCCTTGGCTCGAATCTGATCCTTTGGTGATTCAGCTCTGCTACCCCCTGCTCTGATTTCAACATGTACTGTACACTTTCTCTTTCTCAATATTTGTGCATTAAAATCCCTGACAGAGGAACAACTTCACTTTACTGAGACTCACAAATGCACTCACACAATCTGAGTACACACAAACAGGCGTGGCAGGCACCCAGATGCCTTCTATTAACACTTATTGGAAGGGTTGAGTTTATTCAAGACTGACAGGCCACTTCCTGCGCTCCAAACATTTTCACAAACACATACAATGAGAACAGAAAAACAAGAAATCAGCTATTTCAGCTTTCAAGGGTGTATGTTCCTACATGGTGGAAAAGGTTTTTTCACTGTTGATACACAATGCTGCTTCCCATGACTCAAATCAGTAGGGTTTATACAACACTATAATCTGCTCTGGTTCACACATGTGAGGACATAATTATGAGTATACACAGGATGATTGTTTAGAGAAAGGCATTCATTTCTGCTTCCAAGATGACAGCACTCTACAGCAAAGTTAAACTCATCTGGCCACAAACTGTCAAACATTGGCTTCTTTGTACACAAACCCAAAAGTTGACTTCATGGAGAAAGACCCAGGGCTTCCAGTTCAGGGGGTATCTAAAACGTTTTTTAAAATGATTAAAAATTCACTGTTTTCATTATTACACTGAAGCATTTGATGCTTACATGTTCTTTCCGTGGAAAAACAAAGCTCATAAAGAGAGACTGTACAGCAAAGAAAAAAAAAAGAGGGGCGGCAAATTCAATAAAACACTTGAGTCTAACCAAAATACAGCAATGGATGACTAAAAATGATTGAATGTGCTGCAAGAAGTCAGAACTGATTTATTCACAACAAAGCTCCCAAAGCTAAATAAGGACAGCGATGGCAGAAACACACAAACCCAGCAAACAAATGGAAAGAAAATGCAACGTATTTAGTCATGATGAGAGAAATGTGTGATGCTTGTTGGAAACTGTTGTTTTTAAGTGTAAATGCTATAATAGCTATTGGGATCACTAGTTTTATCGATATGAACAATGACCCCAATCTCCTATTATTGAGAGACATAACGCCAAAAAATCCGCTGTGGTTGGTTCTGACATTCTGCCCTGGTTGAGCCGAGGTATGCTCAAAGTGATCTTGTCCATGTAGATTCTCATTCATCCAGGTCATGGTTATCTTGAAAACTCCAAAAACAGGCAACTGGACTGTGTAAAGCCATGTTCTCAACTCTCTATTGTCCAGTTAACTGTTTTTGGAGTCTTCAACAAAGTGATCTTGCTGAAGTCACACCTCTTCTGCAATCATATTTAACTCACCAACAAAATAAGAAAAAGATCCTTCAGGTCCATTTTTAATAGATTAATTGAAGTTTATTTTGAACATTTAATAATAATAATAATAATAATAATAATAATAATAATAATAATAATAATAATAATAATAAACTAAAGAATACAACAACAAATGATAAAAAAATTATCCATGTTCAAAAAAGGAGTGGGAAGAAGTCGAAACTTATCTAGTCCCACCTCTCCTCCTACACTAATGATTTACATATATATCATAATGTTATATAATAGTATTAATCATCATAATGAAAATAACAAAACAATTATGAAAATAATCATAGTGACTATGATTGTACAGTGTTCACCCTCTGTACCTGCATTGATGTGAGAGGACAATTAGGAGAGAAAGAAGAAAGAAAGGACACACAAAACCAAAACAATAAGAAACATAATTTTCAGAAAGGACCAGTTAATGATGTACATAAATATAAATAGAAAATAAACGACAAGTAAGATCATCCTATGGACACTTTTAGTGACTGTCACACTCCCGTTTCATCCCTGTATCCCGTGAAAAAATCTTCATATTTTGTTTTAAACAGTTTTTTGTTTGGACATTGTATTAACTCCTCACCCATAATGTTCCACAGTCTCACCCCAACAGAATGAAATACAAAATTGTTTTCTGGTTGTGCAGATTTTATTAATTTTGAAGTTATACTTCCCTCTTAATTGATAACCCCCCTCTCGATCCCCAAACAAAACAGTCTAAAATAAAACAGAGATGTGACAATATGAAGCAGACAATTGTTTTAGTAAGTTGCAGGACCCTTGTATTTGTGTTTGTTCTGTATTTTTATTGTCATTAATCCTGTACTCTGTAAATCCAAGAAAAAAAACTAACCCTGTATTTGTTAACAAAGCTCTCAAAATCCATTAAAATGAAAATTCTCCCCCAAAAAATATAAAGCAGTATGATGAAAACTATTATGACAGACAGGGTATTTATGTTTTCAAGACCAACCCATGTTCCATCTGTCAAAATGGAAGAACCAGTCATCAGGGATAGGGAGAACCAAGAGTTTTGGCTTCACTCAGAATAGCTGTTGGTCTGTCCTTGATTTTATATGGAGTATAAATCTGATATATGCAATTAGATTACTCCCCAAAATCCATTCTGATTAGTGCTTGCTCCAGTTTCTGAGGTCCACCATTGTGTTGTTTCTGTGTCTATTGCATGTCTATGCCTGGTTTGTGTGTTTTTATCAAATTTTGAATTGATTTATTCATCGTTCAAAGTTCAAACCTTTAAATGTTTTAATTGCGCTATTGAACCTGGGTTATCTCTTGTTTTTGTCGCCACACTAACAAGCAATGTGTGCTCACCATCACTGACCACTATAATTAACTTGTGAGAAATCACAATTAATGGAAATCCCCTTTTCTTCATAATTAGGCCAGCACAACATTATTTCCCGTGACTAGAAAATCAAATTACTGCTGTGGCTCACGAACTGAATGCAAGGACAGCCGACAGAGCGCTGCTTTTTCCTGTCAGATGGCAGCATTGTAATGGCTCAGGAATGTCACATTAGTCAGGGGCCACATGCATGATGCTAGGAACACTAAAACACTTTGAGGAGACCAATATGATATTACACACACACACGCACGCACAAAGCGAAAAAGAAAGGTGACAGGTCCAGTGATCTCATTGCCTGAAAGCTACAGGGTGATAAAGTGCCTCCTACACACTGCAAACCATAAAAAATGTCCCCCAAGCCAGAAGTCGGGGTAAAGTTTCATAACTGCCGACAAATGTCTGGATCTGTTCGGCCGTTTTTTTACCTTTTTTTTTCTTCTTTAATTTAATTTATCTTTAATATTTTGAACATTTAGTTGTTGTGTAGATGTCCAAACAATACAGATATACTCTATTTACAAAGTGTCCTGTGCGTCTCTTGATTCACCTCTGTCGCCCCATGTCTGTGCCCACCAAATCAGAAAATGGTGCTAGGGTTCTTCCCAGCTTAGAAGCCTGTCTGACTCACAGGCTGCGTAGGTGTTCAGCAGCTACATGACTCTCACCCCTCGCTGCAGAAACAGCCCAGAGAGGAATAGGCAGACAGATGAAAAATCCCCCAATTGATCAAAGTTCAAGCTCTCCATTCAAAATGTTTGTGTGCAGCTGTGAGCGTGCATTCTTCCGGGTGCTGTTTACATTGGGCAAGCTAAGTCATGCAATCTGATCCTGAGCTTTTTGAGAGCCTCTTTAACCCACCCACCCCCTTCCCAAACCCTGACATCCACCCCTCAACCCTAAGAGCTATTGGAGGAAATGCACTGTTACCTCACAAAGACACGCTGGCGTCAGTGTGTGTACGGGTCAGGAGGGCAAACAGGGGCCGTGGACACATGGCTGCCATATGTGCAGACTGGATGTTCAATCTGGGATGGGTTGCATATGCGCGGATTTCCTCTTAAAGTTCCTGTGAGGTGACCAGAGTTAGGCTGTTGTTGGTGGTTTAGTCTTACTCCTTATGGCGATACCTCGGACCTGAGTTTGAATGATTCCCTCAACTGGTTCATATTATGTTCATCTACCTCTGCAGCTTTCACTTAATTCTTTTCTTTACACACATCCTAGCTACTGTCTCTGCCTCCCACCTGCAGTCCCGCTGTCTGTCCCCCTCCCTCCCTCCCTCCCTCAGCATGTGTTCTCCATGTGAGCTTGTGTGTGGGTGCTGACAGCCCAGCAGGTGTGTGCAGGTGTTCCCCATATCACTCAACATCACACAAACTAGTCCCCGGTCCTCTTTTACACGGACACACACTCACTGTTCTATCTTCCCATTCAGAATCTGTCATGTCTGTCCTGATGAGCTCATTTAAAAGAGCAGGTCAATGCAACACCTGTTGAAACTGTAGCAAGAAACCAAGTCCAGAGTAGATGTTCATTTGAAAAAACATTGCTTTTATTTAGGCACTGAGACAAAATGATAGCATTTGTTTAAAAAAGGTCATAAAAATGCATATTTTCAGAAAAAAAAAAGTCTGATTTTACTCAATCATCCTGGAGATTTACACCAGTAAAGGCAAACTGTGTTTTTGGTCAAGTTTAAGTGGTCCTTTCACATCTCACAAATGAGAGTGGCATGAGGAGGGTGGCCTGTTGTCGAGGTCACAGCTAATGTGTCACTCAGCACCCTTCCTCCACAGCGCACCGTACTCAGACAGCTGTCCCAACAACACACACTTGCTCATGCACACATCATGCAATGTATGTATAGTATGGTGAGGAATGACACACACACATGAGCAGCTGCAACATGGTCAGAGTCCCGGACCGGCCGGCACCGATGGGAGTTTCCTGGGAATTAACTGCATGTCCAGCTGCCTTCAAACAACACTCATTTACACAAACACATGCAGGAGAAAAATGTGTTGCTGAGTCTAATATAACCTCTAAAAAAAATCTGAACATTGCATGGCTTCAAGGTTTTTTAAGGCACTTGAGAAGTCTTATATAAAAGCGTCTGAACTCCAGCTTTTCTGTCCCATCCAGTGTCCCTTTGGGGGGTTTCAAGCCAGCATGTATTCATCTGGCTGACAGAAGCAGTTCGAGGAATGCAAGTCTACGAGGCAGGGCAACATCCTGATGCGCTGTGTTTGTGAAGCAGAGACATGCGGCTGAATGTCCGGGAGCAGGACCCGCACTGGTACTTCTTCACTTCGGAGTGGGTCTGAAGGTGGGCGCGCAGGTTGGAGCGATCAGCAAAGGCTCTGTTACAGTGTTGGCATGCGAAGGGTCGCTCACCTGGGGAAAAAAAAAGAAGTTACGGTTAGACGCAAGGAAATGCCACATCAGCAGGTCAAAAGGTCTATCCTGGGGTCATCTTTTTTGAATGATTAAAAGATAACAAAGAGAGCTACACTAATTTACTTAAAGCAGGCTGAGATAAGGATTAGTCATGCTAAGCAATTACATTTACTCACAGCAATGAATATCAATGACAACAGGGTCCAAACAGCTGTTTAATTTACAAGAGATTGATTAGATACATACCTGTGTGTGTGCGAATGTGTCCTCTGAGCAACCATGGTCTGGAGAAGGCTTTGCCACAGGTGGGGCAAACACACGGCAGCGTGTGCGAGCGGATGTGCATCTTCAGCGCTCCCAGGCTGGTGTACTCCTTGGGGCAGTGTTTGCAGTGAAAGGCAGGGCGTGTGGAGGCGTCGGCGAGCAGGGAAGGTGTCTGCTGCATGGGGACACAGAGGGAGTGCGGGTGCTGGGACATCTGATGGTGGGACAGAGCGGAGAGGCTGGTGTAGCTGTTGCTGCAGTGCATGCAGTGGTAGAGGTGCTGGATGACATCTGGGCTGGGGGGATCTGAGGTGCGTCCACCGTCGTCTTCTTCCTCGCCGCTGCTACTGGAGGGAGAGCTGCTGAGGTCCAGGGGGTGCAGCGGTGAGGGGGACAGAGACACAGGAGTGACAGGGGATAGAGGTGCAGGAAGAGTGTCTGCGCTGCTGAAGAAAGGGTTGGTGGGGTAACAGGTCAGGGCCGAGCTGTTCAGCTGGGTTGGAAGTTCAGCTCTGGGAAAGCTTTCTGGGACTAAAGCTGGGGAGACAGAAGACGGGAAGTCAGGTTAGGAGTCACTTGAATGGACAAAGAAGAGTCAAATACTAAGCCTGTTTAAAATTCTGAGTCTGTCTTAATGATGACCCCTTATATCATAAATGTCTGTCTTAACTTGTGCATTTGGGGTAAGGTGAGCTCTGGTGACTGATCAGATGCAGAAATGAATCAAAACACTCACCATTTTGGCTTTCCAGTTGACTTTCCCTGTAGTATGGCTTCTTGTTAGAGAAATATTTCTTGACAAGGAATGACCGAGGCATGCTGAGATCTGGCTTTTCCGTCGGAATGAGAAGAAAACGATCCTGCTTCAGCGTGTGCGTAAATCCTGGAGTCCGCTGTGGCTCGTGGGCTCGGGAGGCAAAAAACAAATCTGAAGTAACCACCAGAAACACCACCGAGGATGTGTGTGCTGGGCCTGACCGCAGAGATGCCTCCTCATATAGTAACCAGAGAAGAGAGGTGACGGGGTGGGTGGGCACTTCCCCGCCCAAAGACACACCCCGTGCGTCAGGGCGCCACCACGCAGCTTCATTCACCACAGGTGCCTGAAGTGCCAAACGCTGGAGCAAAGCCAGGGTGTAACTGCGCATTTTACAGCCGTAATTGCCACCACTGTTTATTTCATGGATGTATTTGTTGGCATAAAACATGAGTCCTATGAGTTTAATTCCACCACATTGTTGGCTCTGCTTGATATCAAACGTGCTGAAGTCATACAAAGGCAAAATAATAGGATACGCCGAGTGAAATATTGAGGTTGTAAAGCAGGGACTTTTTAAAATCATTATTTAAACCTCACATATGTACCTGCAAACTGAAACAGCAGCGTCCTCTACCGGGCATAACTTATTTTGTAATACAATGTAAGAGTTTCACAAAGTAATTCACATCGAGCGTTTTCAGTTTGAGGACATTACGCCCATTTATTGCCACTTAATCATTTAACGCTGACTCTTTTGTGCGCCTTTGCCCTGGAGCTTTTACGCACCCCCGGTGGGAGAGACAGACTGAGTAGGTAGGCCTACATGAGACAAACGCTCTGGCCACACAACACAAGACACATGGTTCATCCTGTTGACTGCATTTTCTTTCTTTGCCTCTCTGTGGGGAATCAGGCAGTGTGAATAAAAAGAGGTTCTGTTTCCAAGATTGCTCGCTGCGTGATCTGAGGTAAAATTAACTGAGCTGTCAGGAGCATAACGATGATGTTCACTCGGACAGGGCCCCATACAATTTTAAGCCTGTAGGTGATATGCACAATGGGGCCCACGACGATGCCCTAAGAGGAAACAGGCCCCTCACAGGCACGAATCGATGTATCCTGCGTGCGTAAAATTGCGCAAATCTGGTTAGAAAGGGCTACTGAATCGAACCCTTACTATCCATAGATTCAGATTGGCTAAATTGACTATTGCGTGTTAACAATCAATAGTTTAACATCTTTAAATGGACATTTTTTTTCTTGTTTTGGGACATTCTTATCGTATTTAGTGCCGCGTATTACCTATTTCCCCATTTATTTTTCTCTTTTTAAATGTGCCAGCTTTTTTTTTTCATCCCTTTCTTCCTACAAATGCTTCTTCTTTGATCCCCCGAAGGTCTTGGTGTTGTACACACCGTGTGAATCTGAAAATCAGGTGCCAGCCATCAAGCAGCAGTGTCCGGGCCTTCAATGGGTCCTGTTTAGCATTGCAATGAGTCTAAAAGCTCCACAGTGGCCGCTGATGGGGCCATATGCACCTGTCTGGAGGCGCCATTGTCACTGCATGCCCAAAAGTTCACACATCGTTACAGGGCTCGTTGACGCCGACGCCACGTAGACTGGAGGTCATGAGGGCAGGACAGCAGTAAAAACAAAAAGCAAATAGCAGAGACACGCGGGAAAGTAATCTGAGGTGCAGGTCTTGAGTGCACAAATGGCGTTTGAGGGCCTCAACAAAATGGATAGGATGAAATTGTTGGCATTAGGGATATTTCTAGAAATAATGATCTGAATGTGCCTTCCCTGAAAACCACTAGGAAAGAAATCACAATACCTGAGTGTGTTGGAATAAAAACAGTTGATTACACACTGTTGAATTTGTTCCTCTGTGGAGAGCAGTTTATGGACAGTTAGTGTAACAACATGGTCAGAGTGACCTCATGACACACTGAAAGAGGAGGACATGAAAAGTTTGCTGTTAAGCCAGAACAGATGTTCTCTCCTGTGCAGCCTCAGGGATTTAACAAGTATGTTTTCCCACAGAAGTGCAAACTGCCTACTGAAACCTCCTCAGACTGAAAATGATGCTGATGACAAATGTTCATTCAGATTATTTTTGGGGATGCTTGATGAATGCCAAAAAGAAGTTGCAGCAAGGTAGAGGTCAGATAAACCCAAAGTCAAACCAAGCTTGTATAAAAACTTAAAAAACATACTCTTCACCTTGAAACGCACATGCCCTCACATCCTTTTCTTTAAGCAGCATTCAGTATTTGAACAAATTTTGAAACACATTTTAAACTTTCTGAGCCACTCTATTCAGCTTGATGTTTGATATGCATCAAAACTGTACGCATCATTTTAGGCCTCAGGAAATTACATAAAGCGATGCCACTCAGCAAATAGATTGGGTATAAAGACGACAAGTTTTCAAATGGTCAAAAGAGACAGGGTTGTAAGGTTTGACAGCAAGACACTCTGAAGCCTACTCATGGTCCCCAGATGAGCTGCATTGTGGAAGTTATAACGGTAGTTTTTACAAACAATCAATCCATCTCTGTTTTATTCTTTATAAAAACCCAACATAAAGATAGCATACAATTGAGACTTATCTGGTAAGATAAGACCCACTCTCAAAACTATTTGCATTTTTGCAAACATAAAATGACAAGAAAAAATGTTCCTTTTACAGGCGCAAGCCTCAAGCAAAACCCAACTCATGTTAGACAGTCATCTACCACTACTGAGAAAATAAACAAGAATACACTTATAATATGGGTTTGAAATATAATAGTGAGTAAAGCAGATGAAGTAAAAATTTTCTGGATTTAACATTAACTTTGTAACAGTGATGATGACAAGACTGATGTGGAAGCTGAAACGGTCAGGCAGCTCCACAGAAGCAGACTGTCTTTAGTGATGATCCACAGGAACTTGTGTTTTGAAATTCGAGGATATGAAGATTTAAAGTTTAGGATGCACAGACGCGCAGAGGAGAGAGAGGGAAGAAATAAAGCCTGAGTGGACAGAACAAGGATGACATGTCAAACAAGAAATGACAGGAGTAACTCCATAAATGTTTTTATTTATTGCAAAGGATGTTGTGAGGAACTTCTGGTATAAGTCAATTTTGGTGCGCCTTTTGGGTATATCTTGACCCCCATTCATGCTAGGGTAGCAATACAGGACAAATACTGTGTCCTGCCGTCTTGTCAGTGAAAGTGTCTGACATCTATCTATCATATTCAATGGTACTCATTCAATAAACCATCATTTTATGCTTCATCTACAAGGTTCATAAGTTCTTTTCATATTCCTGCTACCTGCTTTTGCTTCACCAGATTCATAAGGTATTTGTTGGGAAAAAATATATTGTATTACATGTGTTTTAAATTAATGTAACTTTAACTTTAATGTCACTTTTTTTATCCTTAAATTATTTATCCCACACCTAAACTGATGGCTGTTGATCATCCTGCACTTGCATGTCCTGTTTCAAGTTTTAAAAGGAGCTCAATCCCAAACAATACTGTGGGTGCATAAATGCTTTTCTTACTGTGCCGTTTCAACAGTCTGCAAGTGCAGGTAAAGGCCTTGTTTTACACTTTAAAGCACTTTCCTGATGTCCCTTAAACCATGAGGATAATTGTGAGCTTTGATTTAATTCAGGATCCTTCCAACAATCACTCAAGACCATTTACATAAAATGTCTAATCAGGTTTTTTATAGCCCTTAAGTACAACAACACAGAACGATCAGATGGAGTCAAGCTCTTTTTGTCCAGGTGATGGTTTAAAGGAGGCTGTAGCTCCCCCCATATGAGGATGTGACGATGCAGTGACACCTTCTTTGAATCTGAAAGAAATCAGACGAGTATGTAGGTGATCTGCACCTTCATCAAGGCCATTGTAATCTAGAAAAACCAGTTAAACATGTAACACTTGGGAGGGTCTCTAAAAGACCATTTCTGTCTGATGTCTGTCTTTAAGGTGCATGTGTTTGTGTGCCCTTCCTCAGGTTCAGAGGTCCACAGGCTCAGCAGGGGAAAGATAAGATTATCCAAATGGAATGTGGAGCTGGTCATATGGACACACACTACCACTGGTCCTGTAGTTGGTACACACAGCTTAATATAATTGACTTCTAGACTCAAAAATGCACTCTAATGTGTTTTCTTTTTTCTTTTTTTTTTGCAAGAAAACAGTCAGTCAACAGTTCTTTATCCTGAAAATGATTAAGTGAGGTAACTATATTCGCTATCAATGTGATATATATTTAAAAAACTTAAAGATTGGGACAGTTTTTAGTTTAGAAAGACAACAGTGTGAACAAAAATGTTTGCGTTGTATATTCTGAGCAGCTGGCGCCCCCTGTTGCTGATCAGTAGGAAAATAATGTTGGTCCCTTCCTTTAAAAACAGGCTGATTGCAACAAACAGAAATGAACTGAATGATGAGACCAATTTAAAATTATCTTTCCTAAAAAGTGGGTCACTGGTTAGATTTCAATGAATTGCATTATTTCTGTTCTTCTCAAATAAAGTCAAAGTAGCTACACAAAAAGCAGTCAATACCTCATAAGGTAAGTTTTAATTTTAAAAAGTTAGAAATAGAAGTTTTTCACATGCATTGATACATCATATTTGAAACCTGCTCTCTGTACTGTACAGAGCAGCCATTCCTATCCTGCTCTTCTGCATGAATGCACCAAACTGTTTATTAAACATGTGTAATTTTAATTATCTATCATCAACAGATAATTTATAACACATGATAATATTTGGTCAGACATGGCTGTTGCATGATGGCCTAATCAAACATTAAACAAAGCTTAATGACACGGAGCAAACACACGCTTGTATCACTGTCAAGCTGGAACTTTCCTTTCCTAGTCAAAGGTAATGAAAGATTTTAGCCCAAAGTATTAACATAGCTGTGTTCACACAGTTACTAAGCTCATTTTTGTCCTCTTTAAATCATGGTACAACTGATATGAGAAGGGAAATATAAAGAGCAGAGTGAATAGTCATGAAGATAAATAAGATGTGAAAGATGTGGCGCCACCTGCTGTTTACTTTTCACCCCTCTAGAAGTGACTCAGTCTGATACAGTGTATGGATAAACCACAAGGGGGCAGTCAAGGTCCAAATACAGAAGCAGTCATGTCGGTTTTTACTGGTAAATCAGTGTCTGATTCATTTTGATAGCTTTGAATGCAAGAGTAATTTTATTTGTAAATTAATCTTGCCAATTTTAAGTGAGCACAACAGCTTTAACCTTTGTCATATAATTTTTGGGACCTCTCTGGTTACTTTAGCTAACTTGTAAGAGTACAAGTGTGTATTTTTGCTGTTAAATTTGGGTCATTCTGTGTCTTGGAAAGCTAACCTGGTTCTCCTTCAGTAATGTCGCCTCAGCACCTGGGGAATATATCAGACGCAGTAAAGTA